TGTATTTTTGGCTATTGCTACAAATATACCCCAGCGACTTAAGACTGGTTTATATATATATATATATATATATATATATATATTAGGGCTGTCAAATTGATTAATCGTGTAAATAATTAACATTTTATTTTATTATTTTATGTTATTATTTTTTGATTAACCCTTGCCTGGCTTTTTAAAAATTGCTTATAAGTCTCTCATTATGCTATTTTATTGCCAAATATTGGATTCAATCTTTTTGGCAACTTGTTTTCTTTAAATTAGCATCGTAGGCCTCATTGATCTGAGCTTATGAGTGGGAAAAAATGCATTATTTGTTCATCATTTTGGCAATTGTCACTCAAAACCTGAAGAACATGAGCTCAGATCAATGAGGCCTGCATGACGAGAAATTCATAAATTTATTTTTAAAAGACTGATCATTTTTAACTAAGGAACAACAAGTGTAAAAGGGTGGGGAAAATCTCCCCCAAAAAAGTACTATAATTATCCATTTTATAGTGTTATACTATGTGTGAGCAAAGTCAGTAAGTTTTAGTTTTAAGTATTTTCAGGGAAAAATGACTGTACCCTGCTATAACAACATAACTTTCTTTGTGCATATCACAGTCCAAACAGTTTGCTCTTCCAGTGTCTGACTCCATGTTAAAATCTCTGATGCTTGTTTGCAGACATTGGCAAATCTGAGGAGAGTTCGAGACAAGATTGATGCTCTTCTGAAACCCGTGTGAGATTGCAAGGGTTTTCTCATTTGAGATGCAGCAAACATTTAATCTCATCGGCGTTCAGTACAAACAGCTGCGCTATTGTTTTATTTGAGCAGCTGCTGTTGATCTGGTTCTGATTCTGCATATGTGTAACCACGGCGACGGGCTCAGGCGTGATCATGTGTTGCGTCTGTTGCCAAAATAAGAAAACTGATTTTCTTTTAGAGCCACCACTGAAAAGCACAATCTCACTACTAACATTTTGGAATGAGAACGGCTGTAATGGAGGGTTGTCATCTTCACCCTTTCATTTCTATTCGTTCCTCATTATTCAGACTGTATAATCATCATATATCCCTCTGAAATGAGGTGACATTTTTCTGTGATTTTAGGGGAGTGAATAATGAAAGTCTGCAGAGCGGAGCATCAATGGCATGCTTTATTCTTTCTTTAATTGAATTGTCAGTTTCTAAACTCTAGCTCGCAGACACAATCAGAAACAAGTGCTGAGAAATCAGACATCAGGAATAAAAGTGTCCCATGCCGACCGAGCGCATTAGTGCATGAATGTCTAAAAGCAGCTCTTTCTGTCAGTGCACTGAAGTCTTTTACACTCACTCCTGTGTTTCAGACAGATTCACACTCTGGCCATCAATATAAAGCTCAAATGGCTGTGTTTCTCACATAAAGGCTTATGTAACTTCAGAAGACATGAATATTAGTAATATTTTATCTTATGACTTCTCACTGACCGTGTTTGTACCTCAAAGGAAACTCGTTTCAGACCCAAAACAGTGCATTTAATGATCCGGGACAAATGAGGTGTAATGATGATGTTTGTGTTTTGAAATTCGCCCTCTGAAGTGCACACTTCAGTGTACACTAAACCCAACCTCGTGCACAAATCCCTTCTGGATGCAGCAGGAGATGTTTGGCATTTTGCAATAATGTATGTTGTAAATGTTATATTGAAAAGCTTCTGTTTCACTACAAGATCTCAGGGACTGGATGCATCAGTTTGATCAAAGATGTGACATTAATATGTGAATGTGAAGAGCTTGATGTATAATTGACTTTCTTTCAAAGAATGATAAATACTATCTGATTTCTAAAGTTATTCATGGGTGCGATAGGTCTAACTCAATCTGACCTAATGACATCATCACATGGCACAGCTGATTGGTTATCTCCTGTATCGGTAGCTAATGAGCTCACTGCTCAACATCCAAATATATGACTAGTGCTTGCTGTAGCAGTTGCAGCTTGCTTCAGAAACCCTCCACCTTCCCCAGCTCCACCTGTATAGATCTGCTACGGGGTGATTCATGTATGCTATATGGGGGTTATTTCATGTATGTTATATTTGCAGCAGCAGTATTTCTTACATGCTCACAGCAGCATGTAGTGGATGTATTGGCAGTAGCAATAGTCTCGGTACTTGCTCTGCCGCAGCAGCAGCAGCAGCGTAGCAGATCTATTCCGTCAAGACCAAATACATTAACATTGACATTACCATGCCAATCCCTCCGAGAGTTGTCATGACAGAAATATATATATACACACACACACACACACACACATACACATACACGTGCGCGCGCTCGTTTCATTTAGCACGTCACTAATAAGGAACAAAACATGCCTTGTCATAGTAATCAAAGCAGTCAAAAATTAAATTTAATTACTTAATATTTTTTAAAACATCATTGCAAAATATTTTTAGTGTATTACTGTATTAAAAATTTGTATATATATATATATATATATAGTGATAAAACTGCACATTTTAGAGTGGCCTTTTATTGTGGCCAGCCTAAGGCACACCTGTGCAATAATCATGCTGTCTAATCAGCATCTTGATATGCCACACCTGTGAGGTGGATGGATTATCTCGGCAAAGGAGAAGTGCTCACTAACACAGATTTAGACAGATTTGTGAACAATATTTGAGAGAAATAGGCCTTTTGTGTACATAGAAAAGGTGTTAGATCTTTGAGTTCAGCTCATGAAAAATGGGGGCAAAAACAAAAGTGTTGCGTTTATAATTTTGTTCAGTGTATATATATATTGCAGTGTAAAAAATGTTGCTGCAATTACTTTTCACTAATTAAAATGATTTTTTTGTTACGATAACTTAAGAAATAATAATGTTCAGGCTTGATTTAAAATTATAGAGCAGCAATTAATTATTTATGGAAGCCCGTTTCCAACAATAAATACAAAATATAAGTAATTGTGACTTTTTATCTCACAATTCTGACTTTTTTTCTCACATTTTTTCCTTAGAATTGCATGATATAAACTTGCACTTCTAAGAAATAAATTCACAATTGAGAGATGAAAAGTTACATTACCCTTTTGAATTTTTATTTTTTTTTATTGAATGGTGGAAACGGGCTTCCATGTGTAATTATTAATTATTTTGTGAATTGCAGTGAATAAAAGCTCTTTTTAAACTAAGCTTGCGTTTTATTTTTTTTTGTTCTTTTATCCCTAAAGATCAAGCATGATCGGATTCCATTTAATGTTAAAGAGATGCTTCTATAAATCATTTTTGCACAGAAATGATCATGCATAAAGAACCTGCTTCTGTTGCGTGGACGCAGGTTGTGTTTGATTAATGAGTGCAGGTCATGTGACGTGACCTCTAATAACAATGCACACTAAAGGTCAGTTGTCAGTCAGTCGCTCAGGCCACCTGTGTGTGCCGCGTGATGAAGTGCATCTCTCTGTTATCTGCGAGCAGGTGTCCTTGTGTGAGGATGAATGACGCGGACACTGAACTTCACCTGCTGACCACATGCTCAAACACTGGCCGAGCTCCAAACACATCTGTTACAGCACTCATTATCTGACAAACAACACTGTGACTGCATTCAGCTTGAGCAGCTAACAAGCATGAAGTTATTGTATTAGCTACAGGCAAGATTTCAGAAAACCTGCATGACAGTAACTAACAATGAGCACTGTTTATCTGCTGGTTAACACATTATGTGATGTCAACCGGAATAGAAAGCCATTTCAATCAGAGAATCCTATGAAAGACTTTTCTATAGAATAACACACACTGATTGATCGTTCATGATAAAACCAGGGATGAGTATTAAATGCAATTTGATTTCATGTTTACATTCATCTTATTCACATTTATTTAAGCTGATGGAATGAGGAAAAATCAGACATAATAGATTACTATAAATATAGATATACTATAAATATAATAACACTTAATTTGTAAATAAATTATTAAAAAAATGTATATATGTGTATATGTATATGTATATCACAGATGAATAACTTCTTGAATAAATCTTGAATAAATGAATAAATCTTTGAAAGACAGTCAATTATACATCAAGCAACTATTCTAGA